TCCAAAGCTTTCAGCACGTGGTGCCAACGTGCACCTTTCAAGATCTATATGGAGCTTAACATGTGCCAGGCTGCCTCTCTTGAACCACCAGCATTTTGGATACGGTGATGCCTCTGCTCATGGACAGCTCCACAATTCTGTGTCTCATGCAATAGGAGAATGATCACAAAATATGTTTCTCATCCCCTCAGAAGATCTGGTTTGCAGGAAACAAAAAAGCCCAGCAGAAATATTCAGGGCACCACAACACTGTGATGCTCCCCTGGAAGGCAGAGGAAAACTTTCTACCCTGCTTCTGTGCTTCAAGTGAACTCATATTTGTGTTTCCAATAAAGAGCCATTTTTACATTAACTGTCTGGAACAGCAGGGAATAGGAAAACTAACACAATCTTTACCTCGTACAAAGGATGATACTGGTGTCACGTGCTTGCTTCTTCAAAAAACGTTATTTATAAAAGGCAACGGGGAAAGCAGGGAAACTATTGACTCTTCTCTCTATCCCTGCTCGAGCAGCATTACAGCAACTTTTTGATCCCCTACATTTTTTACATTTTTCCCCCCCCGAGAAGTAAATTTCACAGCCACACAGGCCACCGCCTTTAATTAAGCTTTCAAAAGTCTTCTGACAATGCCAACAATTGCAAGACACTTCTAGAGCTCAATCATGCAATCATCGTGACACTTCTATTTACAATTTGTCTTAGAAAGAGTTTCTCTGACATTGTACTTTGACAAAACAGCCAAGCTGCCGGTTCACAACCTTTCTCTGCCTTATTTACAAATACAGCTTGTACGCAGCGCTCCAAACCTCGGGAGCGGGAGCCTTTGGGTAGCACCCTCACTATTTTTTCCTGTCTGCAATATTTCACCCAGCCTGCTCTCTCTCTTTCTTTGTATGGGGAAAGCAGATAGAATTTGACTTCAAAATCTTCCCATATTCCCTGTTCCCCCCCTCTCTATTTTTAAGTTTTCATCTTATTGTCCAATTACAATGCCAACTATTCCGTGCAGACAGCAGTATTTTTTTGTCTCCAGAACAAAACAAAACAAGGAATCGACAATCACAACCTACAGAGTTACAATGGCAACTACTAACAGCCCCAAAAAAATTCTGCTTAAAGACATTACTTCCCAAGGACTGTAATAATCAAACAATACTCAGTCTCAAATTTAGTACCAAATGACGTTCACCTTCCCCCGACTGCAGCAGACAGAGGGATTTCTTACATTATTTTCCCACGTGTTTAATTTGAATGTCACAAGCAGCTTGAGAATATCGGATTCGAGCGGTAAAAATGACCTCCCCTCCTCCCCCCCTCTTTGTACAGTAAATAGAGCATCCACGGATCCACGCTCGGCATCATACCGACTCCAAAGTGCTCCCCCAACTGCATCCAAGTAACATTTGAGATCCTCCTTCACCCCAGCCCCAACCTTTCATTAATTCCCTCGGATTCACACATCCAACAAACAAACCACCAAAACCTGACACGGGCGGGCAATAAATATTTCCTCAGCCTTTTCAATAAGTGAGCAGCGATTTTACATTCACTGATCTCCAGATACTTCAGTTAATATTTCCCCCTATTGTAAAATACAAGAGCGGATAACTAAAGCCCTGCCATCGCCCTCACTGCAAATCACGGGCTGCCGGTATCTGGTGGTGAGGCTTTGACATACATATTGATGAAAGCTGCCTCGCTGGACCCACACAACATATCCTATTAATTTTCAGTTAAATTTATGGCATTTCAGCTCCGGCGCTGGATCAGCATCACTCAAATTTTTATAGCAAGGCAGAGCCGTGCACAGGCAGACACCCACATGGAGGAGCCAGGTACGGACACATGCCTGCACCTGAATGGATCCCACAGCTGCTGCACAGGCTGCACACACACACATACAAGCTCCTGTCCTCATCCCTGTCGCTGGAAAATGGCAAGATAAAGAGCAGCTTAAAGACAGTTAAAACAGACATTTCTCCCTGCATCTGAATGAGTCGCTGCCTCCTTGCTGCTCCGTAGATCTTTAACCATTACTTACGATTCTCTTTTACTGTAACACCCCAACTTACTGACCAGAAAACTGCAGGCAGGGAAAAAACTGCACCCAGAGCTCACCCACAGCACCTCTGCATCCAGGCCTAACCTGGAACACTTCTTCCGTCCTCAAAACTAATTGGGAGAATTTTTATATTGCTACAAAATATGTATTTTATGGTCTCTTAGCAGAAAGAATCACTTCCCCAACTTCTGTGTATTTTTCCAAAGGCAGGCTCTATCTTTTTTTTTCCCCTTAATTACACACTCAAATCTTGCATTTTGCATTCTTGCACAGAAATCAGATATAAATAGCTGAATTGGAAGAATTTGAGGTTCTTTGCAGGGGCCTTCCTGAAGACTGAACTTCACGGTTCAGGCTCCAAGACCTTCACTGGAAATTGTACTGCTGGAGTCCTCAAACTATTGGCTACGAGCAATGGGTCACTCCAGCTATCACCACACTTCTTTGTGACACAAGGGAGCTGAACTCCACCTGAAAAGGGAGATGAAAACAAGAAGGGGAGGAACAGCACAAGACCCCATAACTCCTGGTGCACCTTTTCCCCTTCCCAAAGCCAGGCTGCATTTCCAACCAACAGGAAGAACCAAGGAACCTCAGCGTTGCTCAGTTCCAACCCAGCCAGGGAGATGCAGAGAACCTGCAATCTTGGACCTCCCATCCATATGGCTATGGCTGAGCACCAGAGCCAGAAACCTTGGGGCAGAAGAGTCCTGACAGCCACAACTCCATCCCTACTCAGGACACACTCACGGCTCGCTCCGTGGACCCTCCTGCACGGCGCCAAGCCTGCTCCCAGCCAAGCCCACCTACGTGTACAGTGAGCAGGAGCAGGTCCTGCCACTGTGCCCCCTCCTCAGCCACTGCCTGTGCTCAGAGCAGCGTTTACAGCCAGGTGAAACCACAGCCCTTTCTGACTGAACAGCCCCGTGACGGCGCGCCGGCCCAAATCCTCCTCGCTTGGCGTCACCTGCGCCACGCCAAAGCCACGCTTGGCTCGCTGAGCCTCCCGCACCCAGCAAGCGCCAGAGCAAACCCTCAGCACAGGATGTTCCCCTCTGCACAACTCCTCAGCACGGCCATCCCCCCAGCCCAGGGACCCAGCTGGGACCACGGGGACGACAGCATGTTTAATTCTTGCTTGACAGATACTGTGTTTTGTCTTTTGAGCGGAGCGGCGCCGTACGTAAATACAGCGTTACATCATACCACCGCTCCTCCATATTTGGTGATTTAGTATGGCTCCAGAGCTTGGAAGACTACAAATCCCTTCCGCCAGGCTCCTGCTTCATTAATCACACCCTACACTTCTGCTCGCCTTCCGTCAGATGGCAGGCAGCACATGGAAATGGGCACTGCCCTCCACCACTCTGGGAAAGAAACCTCACCTTTAGTATCCATGTCTGGGAAGTGCAATATGGGGAATTACTGGGAGGGGGTTTCAAGTCTCACTCAAAATACAGCTTAGCAGTAGCTGTGTTTCCCCTTACATGTAGAGATATTCACGTTTCAGGGGAAGACCGATTACTCTGCAGAAACAGCACACACTTGTTCACATGACGTCTGCGTGTGCACGCACATGGCTCTGCACACAGACACGTGCGCAGACAGACACCCATGCACCGGCAGGATCTGCTGCCACCACAAAACCTCCAGAGCTGCAGCTCCCCAGCACAGTTTGGCGGCCGTCTTGGAGGCCAGGGAAGGCTGCGGGAGGATCCTGCTGAACCTCCCAGCGCCTACTGCCCTATTATGGTTTAACTCTGTGGCCAAAGCGAGCCCCAGACAAGCTCCAGCACATCATGTGATGATGTACTGCGCCTCCGACAACCCCAAGCGCTCCTGTGGGCTCCCCGAGGAGAGGCACAGGCAGTGCCACATCCCCAACATCACTGCAGGGGGAGTTTGCAGCTGGTCCAGGCACTCATTGGGGTTGATAGGCTGCGGTCTTGCCCTTTTCGACTGGCAGCATTGGCGTGGTTTGAAGGGATCTGAAACGCTCGCTGCAAATGGGCAGTACTTTTGTTTACTAGTAGGGTTTTAAAAGCAGAGCGTGCCTTGTTACACTCCCAGGTCTCTGGGATTTTCTTTCACATGCTACACTTTTATTTTTTTAACCTAATTTATGAAAGTATCTGCATGGCCAATGGCTTTCTGATTTTATAAAAAGGAAAAAAAAATTATGCTATGAAATAGAATTATTTACCCTTTTTTCTTTTTTAAAATTACATTTCATATTGTTTGTTGCACAAAACAGAACTCTGCCTTGGACATTTGTACGGCTGACATGTGGTTGTGTAAACCGCAAACAAAATCAAGATACATCTGTCAAAACCACATCAGAGACAAGGGAGAGCACAGCGAAGCATTTATCATTTGGCTGAGGAGGCAGGCTGCAGAGAGCAGCCTTTCCTGTCAAACCAACCTTTTGAAATTTCCAACATGCCCTTAAACTTTTCGAATAAGCATGTCTGTGCGCTTCAGCAACTGCCCTCTCTACTCTGGCCTGGCCAGTCGAAAATGGCATCTTAAAGTCAAGGTCGGTGGTGTCACTTTGCCATGGGGCTGTGTTTAATTACAGTCCATACGCTGACAGCCAATATGGAACCAAGGCTGGCGGATGCTCGGTTAACTCTTTCACCCCTGACTTTGCCCAAGACTCAAAAAGCAGCCTGGGAACCCTCCTCCCGCGGGCAGACAGCGGGAGACGGTGACTACAATGCAGGCAAATCACTGGAGTGGCTGGAACAATGCAGCAGGAACACCGGCTGGCACAGCACGTGCCTGTTGCTCCCGCCGCCGCGCGGGCACCGGGACACGCCGCTAACCCAGCAGGGAGGGCACGGGCACCCGGCCCTCACAGCACACACTGCCAATGCGCTACAGTGCGACTGACACGGAAATACACTCGCAAACGCTTCCCCTTGCTTTAATTTACCTGCTATATGTTCCTGTTTAGGGCAAATTCCTCTAGATGACGTTGATAAACAATCGTCATCCTCTGGCGTAACCTGGATGCCAACCTCCACGGGATTGGATGCTTTTTTCAGCTCACTTGGTGAGGGTGAAGGTGGCTTATCCACAGCCTTCTCTAGGCAGAGACTGCCATTGCATTGTTTCCGTTTGTGCTCAATAAAAATAAGAATGTCCCCCAACGGAAAGTTCATCTGACACTGGCCACAAGTGAGGAGGTCGTGGTCCCCTTCCGGAGCTCCCAATGTGCCATGTTCAGGTTCGTCATCAGTGAGAATGGCTTCAAGAGGTTCGGCTGCAGTTTGAGAAACAAAAGGAGAATGGTTAGAGCTGTCGGGAAAGGCAGCGGGCGCGGGGGGAGGAATGCGCCGAGCCCCCTCTTCATGAATATTACACCCCGCTCTGGATGGAGCCCGCCCGCTCCCCCAGCCAAACCAGGCACCACAGCACGGCACTGGGGACAGGGATTCAACAGTTACAGGGAAGAGATTCTGCAGGAGCAGCCCTAGCACGCACAACTCAGAGGGAGAGCACCGCAACTGTCTCCGTGCTCCTACACGGGGGCACATTTCTGACTCCTTGAACGATTCGGTGCTAAAATTGAATGGACAGGCTGAGAGAACACACTGGGAAACTCCTGTGGTACTACGACAAGAAGGGAATGTGGTGTTTTATTGCTGGATGTATTATTTATGTACATGAATTCAAGGCTAAAAGCACTGCACACACTCTCACACACATGGGTGTGTATCTTCCACCAGCCAGACAAGACCCAGTTTCTAAAATTCAGACATGCAGCGCAGACAGAAGGTGTTTAAACACACACACAGACACGGCAGACTCCCTGTACAGGCCGTGCAGGTAACGTGTGCATGTGTGTGAAAGAGAAGGGGAGAGCCAGCCTGCATGGGCACACACAGCCAGGCACCGACACGCAGGGCACATCCAGCCCTCAGAACACACGTGCACACGTAAACGCACAGATTTGTGTCACTGTCCCCATCGGCCCGTCTGTGGCTTCCAGTTTAAAAAAATCCTACAGGCAGTGGTTATACACCAAGTGGGGGGGCAATGGGGGAAGGGGGAGGGTATGAGGCAAATAAATAAATAAGTATCTGTGGCAGAAAACCGAAATGATAAAAAGCAAGTGCAGCATAAATGCCTGCGGGGCGGGGGGAGGCACCGCTCACTTCTGAGCTACTCCTCAGGATCCAAATAAACAGCAAATTCACCACCCAGCCCACTCAGAGATATTAGCTGGATGGGGTATTTTTTAGTACTTAGGGAAATAAGGAGATCAGCCATTTAGCGTTTTTTAATCCTGAAATAAGGGAATACCTAAATTATCTCAAACATGTTAGCGCCCATGGCCTTCAGCATCTAAAAATCAGCCTGGCCAAGCAACTGCCACATTTCCTCGCAACAGTGAGAAGCGCCTTCTTTAAACTCAAAATACCTTGCCTAATGTTGTCAAAGTTGACAAATTTTCTGAATGAGCTCCAAAAAGCTTCATTATGAGGCTATTTCTGCTCACAGAATCGTCAGTGGATGCTTTAACGAGGCAGACTCGGCTCTCTTTTCTGTTGGCTTTTTTTTTTTTTTACGTTACATTTGCAGAAAAATACCTTGGCAATCTCTGTGCAGCCTCCACCGCCATCGCCGTTCACGAGGGGGGAAAAAAATAAATACGAGCAGCAGCGTGTTGGTGTTCGTCTGTCTGCGCAACACAACACACACGCTAAGAGCAGCGAGCAGGAGGAGAGGGTACTACAAACACAGCCCACCCCAAAACACTGCCAGGTAACGCAGGAGACACAGAATACAACTCCTAAACAGTTAATCAGCCTGACCTTCTTTAGCTGGCTGCCAATTTCACATTTAATGAACTTAAAGCCACAGAGAATCAAAAAATAGATTTTAATTTGACTGCACAATATTGGAACTGATTTTGATAAAGTGCAAAAATCCAGTGAACTCAGGTTAAATTTATTTCAACCCTACCTAGGCTGAATATTGAGGAGGAAGATCTGGAGTAGCTCCCAGTTGTGCTGCGTAAAATAATATTGAAAGAGCACACTACCTCGCCGTACCTCAGCTCCAACTAGGACACGGGGATCCAGCCCATCATTTCTTGCCTCTAGTACTACTTCTAATTTAACGTAAGGTCAACCACAGGAATATGAAGGTTACATTCGTATTAATAAAAACAATGTCTTAATCGCTGGGGCTTTCTGCTAAACTTGCAGAGCGGCAGGAGAGGAGGCACACACAGCGTGCGCCTCACGCTGCTCCTCTCGGGAAGCCGTGAGGAGGAGCGGGCTCTGTTTCTGCGGGATTGCCGGGCACGGCGCTTTTCCTCCCCGAGCCGCTCCTCGGCGTTCGGACCCAGGGAGTAAATTATTGCAGGAGACTAATCCCGCCGGCAGCTCGGCAGACAAAGGTATTTTTGCGAACCCAACTTCGAGCTCACCGACCCTCCGCAGCAAAGAGACACAAAACCACCCGTGCTCCCCTCGCAACTGGCTGAGCGAGGAGCTCTGCATAATCATCACTCAATTATAATGTTTTCCCGCGGCCTGATTCCTTTCTGACGCTGTCACTATTATTTAGCAGGGGAAGGTAACCCGCTGCTTCGACACCAGACAGTTAAAAGTGGCACGGAACAAAAATAGACTTTGCTAAAAGTCTGTACGGACTGGGCTGATTTACAATCAAAACCAGGAAATGAAGTGGTAATTCAGAGGTTGCTGATTACACCTCCACATTTCACCTAATTAATTTTATAGGAGGCAAAGTTCTTGAAAATAACAAGATGATCAAATGTACAGATATAAAACCTGTAACCTCAACATTTTCTATGCTCTTAACGTAAATTATTGCTAATTAACAAGAATTATATACTAATGTATGAAATACGGCTGGCACTGTGTTAGCTGCAAAACATTTGGCTCCTGATGGAGACAGAGCCAGCAAAAAAAAATATGTTTTTTATTATTACTGCTACTTTTAGAACATAATATAAAATACCGGGATTACAAAGAAAACACCAGAATACATTTCACCTGGTCTTGCCTCCGATTTGCAGGATGCATCTTTTAATTCTGGGGCAATCAAAATTCCCTGCCTGGGTCCCTAATCATCCGTCTCTATTTTTCATGCAAATTGCCCTTCCACCAACATGTCTTTTCAGCTTTCCCCCTTCGCCCTCCTACTCCCCCCTTTTTCCCCCTGTTCCCAGCCACCAAAACAAGCGCACCGGCAAAGGAGGGATGGATTTTGGAGTGCCGGGAGAAAGGAGGTACTGGGGGCGATGGGGCGGGCAGGGGGGTGCCACAGTGCGGTGAGGGGAAATGCCCGCGGGGCAATGCGGGATGCGCTGCCGGGGCATTTTCCCGCACCGCACCGTGGGAAGGATGGAGAAGGCTTCTTTAATCCCAAGTTTGCGTCCTCGGATCGTGCGGTGCGAGGAAAGGGGGACTTGGGGGTACAATGGGAGCCGCCAACACGTTACGGGGAGGGAGGGGAAACCCGGGCAGGGGGAAGGCGAGCATCCCCCGCCGCCTCCCGGAGCAAGCAAACTCCGCGCAAAATTAAGAACAAAGAAGAAGAGGGAGGGGGG